GCACAGTTCAAAAGGCAAAATCATATTACTTATATTCATATTAATAGGAGTGATAAATTTAACTGATACTATCCCAAAGATCTGAGGTGCAATTCAAACCTGAGATGTGTAATAAGATGTAAAGTAGATTTCCTCTGGCCTCACTGGGCATGATGTAGCATAAATGAGAATAGAGAGGTCATGAACAAGGTGTACATTAAATTAGTTAAAATACAATCCTCAGTACATACATAGAACAATGTTTTGAAGGTAAAACACCTCTCTTGGATAGCCATACTTCTGCAAATATAATAAATTCAACAAATTATATGAAATGTCTGCTGAGAGTTTTTTCGCAGGAGCAAAATATGAACTGCATTTCATCACAGAATAACCTTAAACAGGTTAACCATTTTCCATGGTAAAATCTATTATTTGAGACTCATTCCATGAGTCCATGTCTAATCTGTTTTTAAAAACATCTATTTTGGATTCCATAGCTTCTTTCTGAGGAACATAGAGCCATACCGTATCTCTGTCGTCTGACAATTTTTCTTCTAACTGAAGACTGCACTGAAGTCTAGAAAATCTGTACTGTTGTTCATAGCTCACTGGAATACTCTTTCGTGCCTTATATTTATCAATGAATGTCCCAAAAGACAAGCAGCTTTCCAAAAGTGCCAAAAAGCAAATCAGTCTAGCACACTCCAGGTTACTATACACATGACAATAGCCTTTATTAGCATAATATGTTATAATACATTATATAGCGAGTCTCTGAGGTTTAGTAATCCCTGTCAGCAACCAGAATAAATGGAAATAGCTTCCAGGAGATGCAGAGCCTATGAAAAGACTTAGTTTTCAAAAACTAGAAGCATTCAAACTCATACCTGCAGCCTCTGAAACAAAATCTCATGAACAATCTTTCATCACAATCATTTGTGGAAGTCAAATGCCTGAAGTGTACTTAAGAGATTAAAGAGAAGTTGAACTGAGCACTAGCAGTTCCATACTTTCCATACTGAAACAAAGGTTTGGTTCATTCTCTCAGGCTTGGCGACAGGAGAAGTTTTTAATTTTGGCTTTTTAATACGCTTAGACACTGAACTTGTTAGCTGAGAATAGCCAGGTTCCACATAAAAGTAAGCACAGCTCCTTGAGGATAATATCTAAGGCACAAGTGAGAGGGTTTTTTACTTACTTTAATGCACAGCTGGATGGAAAAAAACACTAATATTAGATATGTTGCATGTACAACATAATGCTGCATGGGATGAAGGTGCATCACAATTACTGAACTCCTGAAGGCATAACTGCCAGCAGCTCATTCCATGCAGACAGGAAAAAGGCATCTCCTGCTACGCTTTTTGTGCCCTTCCCTTCAGCAATTCCCAATGACCTTTAGCAGGGAGACAGTACTAATCTAGCTGGAGCTTTGATCTACTCTAGTACAGCTGTACTGGTTTTCTTATGGTGCTGTGAGTTATTGACATATTTAGTAAATTTTTTCAAATTTTACTAGCGTAGAACAATTACCAATATCATAATACTTAAGATCAGTTCGAATTATTAAAACACCTTCAGAAATTCTTAGCTTATTGGTGTTGATATAGAGATAACATCACTATAATAAATACTACTGTCTTTTTACAGGCCTGCTTATTCTTGGTAGCATTCCGCTCTCCAGTTTATACCTTCAGTTTTTCCTGTATTTTTAAAGCACTCATCACAGTTCAGTTGAAGTTCTGGTTAAATGATCAAAGGCTTTAACAAAACTATCCCTTAATATCATGCTGCACTCATACCATAAAACAGAAATTCAATCAACTCTGTTGCTAGAACTCCACAAGAAAATTTCTTACTCTCAAAGCATCAACATGCTTCAGCCTCAGCAGCGTTGCCAGGTACAATACTCAACAGCCAACTGCAGTTGCAGCCTGGAGCTGCAGTGCCACTATGCATGCGCGTTGCTGGCTTCTGCAGAAGCTTTCACTGCTTAGGCTTCATCTCTTGATTATATTAAATGAAGGTACAGCTGTAACCCTACCCAAGCCATCTATTTTTAACCTTGCAGACATGCAGAGAAACACAAGGGGGAGAAGAAAACAGTGTTAAATTAAAAGATAGGAAGCATGCTATAGGTAAATCTATTTCTTTAAATTTTTCCTGATCTGAGTTGCAGGAAGTTAGCAGAACGTATCTCTAATTGTCTGTGCCACACTCCCAGTTTTCCTGGACTGCTTGCATTATTTCATCTGTTACCATCTTCTCTGGTCTCGTATCAGGCTTCACCTTTTACCAAGGTAATGCCAAACATCATATAGACCACTCAGAATCACAAAAAAACTGACTTCATCCCATTTTCAATAAATCTCATCTGTAATAAAATCAGCAGATGAAATACCTTCCCTCCTTTACATGTTTAGTGTTACTCTTTTCCTGAAGTAGAGCCTGTTTTTTTTTCCACTACATTTTAAATTTGTCTTTGAAATAGTATGGAAGCTTCCCAAGTTGCAAGCATCTAGAATTTAAATTGCAGAGGGCTTGCATAATGCAAAGCATTAATTTGTTTTTCTGAGGCTGTGTGTCCTGTGAGTAGCTGCTCATAAGAGGACATGGAGGAATCTCTGAACAAAATGAAACCAGTTATCAATTTTGCAACTAAAAGGTGGGAGCATGCTGAGACAGAAATAGAAGGTCCTTATGCTGCTATGCCTCACCTCCTCAAACTGCTTATGCTTGAGCTTAGCAGTCACTGCTGTCTTTTCCTACCAGCTGCTATGTAAGAAGTGCTCTTTGAAGTCATTTATCAGCAGCAACTCTCTGCTGACTGGGGGGGTGGGCGGAGAATACTGTAGCAACAGCTGAGGAGGAATGACCGCATACCACCTAGGTATAAGTCATTACCTCTCACTGGCTAACTGACCTTCCTCCCAGGGGAGCTGGGTGGAGATTAACTCTGTTCTTATTAAGACCAGAAGCAAACCTTAACTTCACAGAGAGCAGGATTGAGGACAATTGCTTTAGTCACTTATTTGCTTGCCTGTCTAACCATGTTCAATACTCTTTCAAACAGCTGTTGAAGAAGGAAAGGCTGCTTTATTTGCCTTTTGCTAGCAGTGGGCAGACTGCTCTTAGCACACATGTATGGAATCTTGCAATACGAGTAACTATATTGCTCAGTAGGACACTAATGGCATTGCGCAGTATGATTAAGTAGTATGAAGGTCTTTGCTTTCATGAAAAGAGCAAATTATAGTTGAAGAGTGGACATCTTTGTATCTTATTTTGTTTATTGGACTTTGAAGAAAGATTTGACAAAATATTCCCTGTACTACTGCTTTACAGGTCATTTGCAGGAAGAGTACAAATCACTGCACTCTGCCTAATGGTGCCTCCAACAATGAAAGAATTCACTCTGTTGTTGTACAGTTACTTTTTAATAACTGAATTCTCAAGCACACGACCTCCTCTGCTCTAGATTGTCCCCTCTGCTTCAATTGTACCCTGTACAAGTAGGTTGGTAGGGAGAGAGCAGCGCTCAGTTCATCTTCTGCTCTTACCTTCCTCCACTTACTGTTCTCTGTATAGATAATGAAGATAGACTGCAAGACAGCATCAGATTAGTCAAGTAAAACATTCAATTTTGAAAAATAAATAGCGGTTCATACCCTAAGAAGTGGAAAAACTGAAGATGAGCCTCTTTGCAGGAAGGTGAAATGTTTTGTTCACCACACAAGTGGTCAGAATCCAAGACCTCCCACAGGCCACTCGGTGACAGGCCTTGGGAAACTAATGCGGTCTGGGTGCTTGTAGGCTAAACAGAAAGGACAATTTCTGGCACATAACCAAAGAATGAGAGTAAAATCCCTGCTGTCTTGGAGATGGTAGGACTTCAAAGACTAGGTTTAAAAGCCATCTGAACATACAGGGGTGTGACAACTGGATAAAAACAGAAGAGCTAGATACTAGGATACTAGGTTGTAGGCTAAATTATAACAGAGTGGTTACAGCGTTTTACAGACTGTGTTGTACAGCCAATGTGTGTATTTTACCTGGTACACTGGTTTGTAACTTGACAAGAGGAGTGCCAGAGCATTTAAGGTCCCAAGTTTTGCACCATTCAGTCAGCTCGCTTCCTTAACATCCACTTTACTACAAGAATAACAGGAAGAAATAATTTTAAAATCAGAAAACCAAATTAAATAACAAAGTAGTTATACTTGAAGGGTTGCCAGGTACCCCTTCTTATGGGGAAAGTCCTGTAAGGGCTATCAGCACTGCTCTTCAGTGAGTGAACTGAAGCCAGACCTGCCAGCCGCCAACAGCCCCCTCAGCTCAGAAGTTCTGCCTCAGTATTGACAAAAAAATTAAACAGTATGTACTACTGCTGTACCATTTGTAATGAGTTTTTCATGGAAGTTTTCTTTTCGTGTGTGGACTAAACAGCACACTCTTAAACGAAAATAATAAGACTTCGTGGATTTGTGGCCTGAGGGCACTGTGTCTGCAGGACTGTGCTAACACCTTTGCCTTGCTATCAGGCATATTGCATATTGAGAGTGCAGGCATCAGCAGCACATCTAAACCCCTAGTCTTAGATTTAGATCAGATTTCTGGGTCTTTCAGGACTTCAAATCTTTAGTTACTAAAACATTTGATAATCTGTTTAGGAATATGAGTGTCTTAACCAGAACAAGTGCTGTAAAAATGAAGTTCCTTACTGTTTTTATAATAGTTAGACCATTCAAGTACAACTATTTGCAGGAATCATAAAAATTCTTTCTATATGCATCAGTCTTGGTATGTGAGGGACATGAAGGGTAGGAATTGCTTCTGAAGTTAACATGTCTCTCTCTTACATATATCTGTATTTGAATGCAAGCTAAATATAAATATACAGTAAGTATATTTATGATTAGTAGAGTAATCTACTCATCAGTAAGTTAGTCCAGGAGGAACAATCTTTTGCTATGCTTCCCTTCTGAAACATAAACATTTCTTAATTTTATTTTTCCTAGCTCTGTTTTGTGATGTTTTGGACGCCAAATGTGTCAGAGAAGATTTTAGTTGACATAATTGGAGTAGACTTCGCTTTTGCAGAGCTGTGTGTCGTTCCTTTGCGCATCTTCTCCTTCTTTCCAGTTCCAGGTAAAAAAAAAAAGAAAAAAAAATTTTGTAACCTCAAAACCAAACCAACAGTGAGGTATGGTTATAGAATCTGTCATGGCTGCACATACAAGTGTGGCTAAATGCATGCCTAGCATAAGTATTGAAGCTGTTTGTATTGAAGGTGGTGGAGACCTAGGCTGTTTACATCAGTAGTCAAGATACAAATCTTGCAGTAAGAGCATCAATCATTTGGCAGATTTCTGACTGTCAAAAGTAAAGCTTGAATTCTTTCTGTTGTAGTTGACCAGGAACAAACATGTGAATGGCAGTAGCGATACATGACAGCCAAGACTGAGATGCTGTTTTGAATAGCACCTAGGACCACCTCCACATTAACATCATCTCCATTAGTCTCCACTTCTGCTGCCAGACCCAGTGGCTTTTTCAGACACAGAGCATAAACAATATATAATAAAAGTTAATACTCTTATCAGAGAGCAAAACAAGCTTGACAGCAATAATTGAAATGTTTCTCCTCAAAAAATTTCTAGCTCTGTAATTGTGTGACATCATGTGTTGTTTTCTGCTTATATGACAAGACAGTTTTTTAATAAAGGTAAGCTACAAATATAAGAATAGGTACATGTAGATATCTTTTTTTGTGCCTGACTGTTACACGATGTACCACAACAGATGGAAAATTTTCCTTGGTGTGACTTCTCTTTAGGGAAGGGGATAGTTTTTTTTTAAATGAAGAAAACAGAATGGACCATTTATTAAATTGATTGTAAGAGAGCAGCTCTTAGGAAGGATTGCTGTCCATAAGTGGCTTTTTTGTTTGTTTCTTTGTTTTCCCCAAATCAGTATATTAAAGCAATTTGGATACAAGATCTACTTCCTTTCTAATAGGGTTTCCCAGTGTGCAAAGTTACCAGCAACAAGTTTCACAGTGGTTATTTCTGATTTGAATTTTCATGCTCTCTGCATGAAAGAGTTGCATATGAGATGACTTTATTTTTTTTTTACTACTCTTGCCTCCTTTTCTCCTCATCTCCTCCCCTTCCCCTGTTTCTGAACAGTGACTGTCAGAGCGCACTTGACTGGTTGGCTGATGACTCTGAAGAAGACATTTGTGTTGGCACCCAGCTCAGTGCTGCGGATTATCGTCCTCATCACTAGTCTCATCGTGCTGCCTTACTTAGGGTAAATCATTATTTTTCACAAAACTGATGGGTTTGTTTTCCTCTTCATTCCTGTTCCCTGTCACTTTATAGCTGAATTTGCATAGCTCAGACTTTTTTCCCCAAGTACTAACCATGATATAAAGGCTAAAGTGTCAATATCTGAAAAAGGAAGCTTTACAAATTTACAAGTGTGACTGCTCTGGGCAGGCACAGTACTTATGTCCCATTTGAAAAAAATACGTAAATATCAGAGGCAAAAATGTATCCTAAGGGGAATTTATGTCCATGTTGTTAAATGCATTGTTAAGAAAACTAATGGAAGAATATCTTGTTTATAAGTTAAATAATCTATTCTACAGCGCTCCGTACAAGACTTTAAATTCTTAGTCCATAATTTGATTCAGCGTGCTTCTAGTACTAAACAGTGTAGCCATTAAGAAACAAACAAGTCCTTTAAAATGCCAGTTATTCTCTTTGCCAATGTATTATGTCTTTGAAGAAAATATTTCTAACAACAGACTGGTTCTATGTGCCAGTGAAAATATAATTACAAATCATGTATTCTAACACTACCATGACTGCTTTCTTTTTATGCCACCTACAGAGTTCATGGAGCCACTCTTGGAGTAGGATCCCTTCTAGCTGGTTTTGTAGGAGAATCCACCATGGTTGCAATAGCAGCCTGTTATGTCTATCGGAAACAGGTAAGAATTTGGCTCTACAGGATCTGGTGAAAGCAGTTGATGAATATATTGGATTTTAGTTCAGATTAGAAGTACACTTTTGAAATGTAACTCCCTGGTGTCCCTACTTACTGAATTTGGTTTGCTTCCCTGTGTGGTCTCAGGAGTGTGCAACTTGGAAATTCTTTGGGTTGAAATAAAACGAAAAGGTGCCCTCCAGCTGCTAGTGAGCATTCAGGCCATGGGACATGCTGGTCTGATGTGATCCTCTTGTTCCTCAAAACACATGTACCATGGATAGCATGTCCTTACCACCACTGTTTTGCACTGTATGTCTACTACTACAGTACAACATAGCATTTTTATGTAGACATGGAAACCACTCATCCAAACTTCTTATTATATTTGTATATATATGTATATAGAATCATAGAATCACAGAATCACAGAATGATAGAATGCTTTGGATTGGAAGGGACCTTAAAGTTCCAACTGGTTCTAACTCCCCTGCCATGGGACGTGTTACGTGGTGTATACATAGAATATATCTCTATGTATACTTCTATTTCATTATAAAAACAGCTCTGCTGAAAATGAACAAAAAGTACAGTTGCTTATGCATTTTTGCCATCTAGAGAAGTAGCTTAGAACAAGATATACTCCTGCAGCAGTTGATAATAACAGCTTATAAATAATTAAACAGGGGAGGTTTTCTCCCTGGCATATTGTTATATTTTTCACACACTACAACCCTGCATGTACAGAGTAGTAGTGATACATGGATTTCAAAGAATATTCCACTAAATTACGTTCAAACACAGGATAAGTATTGTCTGGGTGACTGGGTACATCACGGTGCCTGCATGTTGTGTCCTTCCAGTTACGTATTCAAGGCACTATGTAGGGCACCAGGTCTGACTCTGGGCAGAAACAGCATGGTTGTGTACATCATTGCATAGTACACCTCTGTGGGTGGAAGCAGAAAATGTAATCTATGCAGTGACTGTTTCTTTTTTAATTAGACATCTTATGAAGTGCCAAATGGAGATATCCACCACTTCTGGTTTTGAAAAAAAGTACAGAAGATGGAATATTTAAAAGCCTTATATTGGAACAACATAAAATTGATCTTGATATGTATTAACAGTGCAGGCCATGGCAACAGATCACAAAATGTGCAAGGTTCATGAGACAGTAGAAGAATCATGATCTCTGTCATGATTAGTCTGTCATGTTTTTCTTGAAAACCAAAGAGTAAAACCTGTAGACTCTGAAAAGGCCTGTTCTTGGCCTGTGGTTTCACAAAATTGGACTAATGTCCTCATTGCTTGTTTGTTACAGTCATAGTTCATAGAGTGTTTCTGGCCAGGTGCTTCATTTTTTGCAGTGGTGAGTGCTACTGCTACCGTAGTAGTAATAACTGTGCCAACCTAATTTATTCTTTATTCAGTGTGGCAGTGGCAGAGCCACTATGCACCAAGTTGCAGTAGCTCTATGCACCAAGTTGCTTTCACCTACAGTTTGAGAGCTGCAAATCAAGTGTTTTGTAGACACCTCTGAAATTTTGAAACTCTGATATGCCCAGCTCAGCTGAATCAATAATACCTGTGGGGGGGATATTTTGTCAGCTGTCCAATTGTTTTCTGTAAAACTAGTCAGCCTGCTGAGAAATGGGTAATAAGGAACAGATGCTTCAACTTGTTTTGTAGGGGGTTGAACACTTCTTAGCTTTGCTAATCCAGGACATCCTGGATGAATCATAGGACTCTTGAATGACCTCCTGCTCCTGCTAGCCAAAAATACTCTAATATTGCTTGGCCTTGGTTGGGTGGGGGATCACAGTGGACTCGCAGTACCAAGAAAAGCCAGAATGTTCGCATCTTGTAAAATGCCTGAAGTTTGACATTTGAGAAATTAGGTTGCCACCTCTGTTTCATTCCCTAGAGCAGCTTTTGTTCTCCCATATTTTGTTGGTTTGGGTTTTTTTTTGTTTGTTTGTTTGTTTTTTTTAAATAAAAAGACTGTGATGTAAAAGATTCCAGATGCTCTCTTCCCTCCAGTCATGGCTGAAGCCTGTCTTGGATGTTGCTTAGCATAAGAAATGCTTCTATGATTAGATTTATGTTAGAAAGAAGAAAGCTGAGCCCCAGAAAGGTTATGAAAATCTTCTAAGTTAATCCAAGTTATTAGTGACAAGCCACAAATATGACACAAATATTTTAGTTTTTACGAAAATACTCTAAACAAACCAGGTTCCCACCTCACTACTCCCAGGTGGAGGAAGTTCATTGGAGTGTGTTCACGCACAACTTACTGATAGGTGTCTGAATGCCTGTTTCAATCTAGAAAAAGAAGAGGAATGAGAATGAGACAGCTGTAGAAGGTGAAGACTCTGCAATGACCGACATGCCTCACACGGAGGAAATGACAGACATCGTGGAAATGAGAGAAGAGAATGAATAATAAATGGGATGCAATTGTTCTCTGCAGGGACGATTGGAGTGACACTTCAGCATCTTGTCGTCTCTCATACTTTTTTGTTTGTTCATTTTTATTTTTGTAATAAAGAGGCCTTGATTTAAAAGGTTTCAGATAAATTCTCTAGCATACTGAGTATGCTCTCACTGATGAGGGACCTAAAAAGAGGTCTTTGCTTCTTTTTTTTTTTTCCAATTGAATTTGTTTTCTCACTCCATGCAAACATAAAAGATACAATTGCATCACTGTAGAGTCTTCCTTACTTATGCATCTACCTTCTCTGGACAATCTGCATTTGTCAGCCAAAGCCCTGCTCTCTGTGCACGTGTGTGTGTGCGTGTGTGTGGGCATGCACTTGCACGCTCACACGTGCACACTGGCACGTGCCACTGGCTCAATGCTACTGCCATAATCCTTGTCCCTCCCCTCTTTCCTTTTCCTTCCTTTTCTTCATGAGAAATGTAAAGGAAAAGAAGTTGGAATACAGAGCTTTATTTTACTTGCTTGAAAATGACTTTGCTACATAAACTAATACTATGGTGAACTATATCTTTTTGTTTGGCCTCGTCACTAGAGCTTATACTGCACAGGGTAAAAGTCAGGGAGGAACATGTAAGTCTCTACATACAAAGTCGAGAAAAACAGGTTCCTCTCTCATATTAAAAGTGTGTGGATGTATATATACACACACAGGTACATAAACAGAGACGTACATACATATATATTTATATATGTATGTATGTGTATGATAAATAAAATACACACAGGACAAGAACTCTATTTAGCTTTCATTCCAGCAGAAAGATAGTAATCTTTTGAAAAATGTAAACATTTAATTCAGAATTTTCTTGAATCATTAAGCCCCACCTTACATATAATTTTCTTTAGGCAAAAAAAACATGCACTATCCTCTTCTGAAGAGGGTGATGGCAACTGATAAACTATAACTGTATTTAAATTAAACAAAAATAAATATTGATAAGCTTTACCAAAGTTCTTGTCCACTGATCTAACTTTATTTTTTAAAGGTTGATTTGCTCTATATACTTATTTCTGGTGCCTCTATATTAAAAAAAAAACAAACATAACATATGCAGGATACCATGGTATATCACGTTACTACACATAGCTCAATGAAATTTTTTATATAGAGATACACATAATCATATGTGTCTATATGTATATATACTTATATACACATGGCACACACACTCATATGTATGTTTTGCTATAATATATTTACCTATGCAGTAGGTCAAAATCCGTATGGTGAATCTCAAGTACTGGTGTTCCTCCAAGTTGATAATTAGGGACTTTGTTTATATGTTTGCTCTCAAGGCAAGCATTATGTGGGAGCTGGGAGCTGCTCACACCAGTCCTCCAGTGCTGTGCACGGAGCAGACGGCGGGCGCTGTGTGGCTGTGGCTGAAGTGGGTTAAATAACAGAGCGTGAGGTCGGGTGGGTGACTCAAGTTGGGTGGAAATAAAGCCTGTGTAAGAGGTGACCAGGGAGGTTTTGGGTGCCACTGATGATGGCTGCGGCAGCAGCTTGTATTTCTGTGCTCTTCTGTGTTTGGCTGCAGGGCAGCGTTCATTTGCGGTCCGTAGTACCTTGGGTTCTTTCAGATTTAATCACGTCAGAGTCTGGAAACCATTATCCTCCATCCTATATCCATAAACCAGTTAATTTAAACCTTATTTAGTAAAACTATATTTTTCTAAGTTGTGGAAATTATTATTTAATTGTGGACAAATTCCTAGATTTATTTGCCAGGTAGTCCCAGCACTCAGAGAACTGATCAAAACTAAACATTACTTTAAATGTTTTATCAATATATGTGTATGTAGACATACACGTGTATAAATATATATATATATTGTATATTATGTACATTTATTTTAAACTACAATATGTTTCCTATTTTTCCAAGTTCAGCTAAAAATGTCTCTACAAAACTACAGAGTTGACTAGTAACCAATTATGACCATCATGAAAGGCATTGTATCAATGAACTTTAGATTTTATTGGAAACATTTGTACCAATTTGTTACATGTGCAAATGCAATAAGAAAAAAAGGTAGAATTACTGTGTTAACTAACAGATTTGCAACATCACTTCTCAGTTAATGAGCAGTGGCACTAGGATGGTAAGACTAAATCCATTTATCACATTTTTCTGTGCCACCATGGGGTAAATCCTGTTTTTGACAGTAGTTTAAAACAAAATTTAAAAAAAAAACCCTCAGACAAAGTAATGTGTGCAGTATGTAGTCTGTGCACATTCATAAATACAGGTTCTCAAACAATCATATGTATATAATGTGTATATAGACTGTTACAGATCACAGTGGCCATTTGAGGTCTCCTCTATTCACGTAGTTTTGGTTTCTCCAGTACATTTGTATTCAAGTCCACAAGATACAGTTTTTCAGGAACTGTAGAGATGAAGCAAGAAAATATTTTTGTGTAATATTTCTTTGGTACATGACTAAAATTCAAACAGCAGTATTTTTGAAAAATGTTGAGCATTATCAATGTAGGTTTCAAGGCAGTAATTGCACCAAAAAGTAAAAATTTGAAAACACATTAAAGGAAAACATGGAGGCTTGTGCTTTGCATAAAAGTTGAACAAATACAAAAGTTGAATTATTGGTCATACAGAGATAAACTAATGGTATTGTAAAAGATAAATTTTCAATTGCGTGGATAATACTTACTAGTCCTTTATTTTGCAAGATACTGAATGAGCACAGGAGTGGTGGGATTTGTGTGAGAATTCAAGCAGTGACATAAAGACACGTGCATTGCATCGTTTTCTGCTTCCTGCAGGTCATGTATTTCTTTTCATTGCTCTGCTGGATTAACCAAATGTGATGACATTTCTGCAGCGAGTGATTCCAAGCCAGCCCCTCATGCTGGTTCAGGTGCTCGCTGGGGGACAGGCAGGGTTCTCAGCAGGAAGGGGTATGTCCAGGTTGCTATTCCTCTGTCCCTTGCAGGCACTGGTTATGCTTCTGGGTACTGTTGGCAGGAGTTTCAGTGACCACCTGAAACGTTGCTGCTCCAGCTCCCAGTCAGTGGCAAATTAGCTGGGCTGGTGAAACAGCCAGTCTGATGAGTTACAGGCTTGGAGTGGGCAGCCATCCTCTATGGCCAAAGCCCCAGTCAGAGCATTACTGATTCTGCTATCTCAGGCAGATGCTGGTACATACCCTGTTCTGCACCTTTTGCTTTCAAAAGGACTTCCCTGACTTCTAGTAAAATGGCTTAGCTGTCTCTCTCTTGTGCTGTTGCTTATGAAATGGCTATCTATCTCTGTGGTAATTATTTTACAATAGAAACGTTATGTTTCTGTGTCAGAGAGCTGGAGCGCAATCATCTCAATGAATTCATGTGGAGACTTGGCCTTTCCAGACTGAATTATACAATCAAAGTTACAATAAAAAGAGGAAAAAAGTTGATCTGCATCCTACATCTCATGTTGCAGAACAATTTGCACAGTGGGAAATAAGAGCAGAACACTGATAAGCTGTGGATTAATGTTCCTCAGCTTTTAATACATTTGCGAAATTGTGTTAACTTGTCTTGAGCTTTCCCTTTTCAGAATTAACAGGAAACACTCCAGGTTTTTCCCTCACTGCCTTAAGCAGGCTCTTACGCTTACCAAGCCATGGACTTGATGGACAAAGCTCTGCATTTCTCAGCCAGTGCCTGAGGCCATTTGGGTGCACCAGCAGGTTCCCAAGGCATGGGGCAGTCCCATTCCCCATCCCCCTGGCGCAGCCATTCCAGGCAGGAGGGCTCAGTTCCCTGCTTGCTAGATAGAGCCACCCTGAGTGAGAGGATTGGGTAAGTAACAGAGAAGTCTTTTGTTTTCTACTCATTTTGCTGCTAAATATTTCTTTTGAGCAGGAGATTTATATCTGGCTCTTGCTCAGTGTTTCGCCAAATCTGCAGCCAGAGAGGAGCAGCCTGAGACGGAGGGTTAGCTGATGAATGCAGCTGATTCAGGGCAGGCCACGGCACATGAAAGAAACCTTTTGAAGGCAGGAGTGCCTGCTTTTGTGGGATGGCGCCTCATGCTTAAAAAGAAGGGAGAAAGGATGCTTTCAGGTCCAGGCACCAGAACTGTCGGGCATACTTTTGTGTTGGGCTGCAAGGTGGCAACGGGAATCAAGCATCCTGCAGCTCGAGCATCCCAGCCCCGCTGCCAGCATCCTCGGTGAAGTGTGGGACAGTGTAGAGAATGGCGTGGCAGCAGTATTGGCTCTGTCTCTCACTGAGGTTTTGTCGTTGTGGCATGGTTGGCACAGGCTTGAGTGCAGTTGGTTGTTACCTGAGAATAGTTGCAGGATTAGTCTACTGGAAGGCCATGCATATGTATATAAGCATGTATATGAGAGTGTTGCACAGGCATTTTTATTACAACCTCTGTATAGTTCATTGGAACAAGGAAGTCTAAACACAAACAAGTCTAAACATGATTTTAATGTGGGACTAGTACTAAGCCATTTTTAAAAATTGCAATTTAAAGCTACATAAAAGAGTAAATAAAACAGCAGTCCTATACCAGTAGGCTAAAGTATGATTTAGATCAGTAAGCTGGAATGGGAGAGAAAGAGGACATGTTAAAAATCCACAACAGCATGGTGTGGATATGAGGGAATCAAAGGGCAGAAAACACCAGAGCTGTGGCTGCTGCCATTTCCCTTTCAGCTGCCGTATAGAGGGACTGAAGGATGAGGAACCGTGTGTCCGTGCAACACCACTTCTAAGTATTTTGGTTTCCAAGTGAAAGACTTTTCAGAGAGAGGAGTATGAAACATCTTAGAAGATGATTCAAGCAGAAATAAACCAGCATGCAGGTTTTATAATGTGTAGCGAGGAGGCACTACATAGTTTCCTGTTTCTGAGTAACTGGCAGATTTGAATTAAGGAAACATCACATAAATATTAATTAAACACAAGACAAAATTATCCCAATTTTGGTATCAAATTGGCATTTCTCAAATACCAGCTAAACCATAATATGTTAGGATTCCCCTCCCCCATTCATGTTTGGTTTTTTACTAGAATTCAAGTGCAGCAAGCCATCTTTTTTTGAGAGAGCAAGCTCCTGTGGAGGGGATACAGTGCAGAGCAGGATGTGGGGGCTTGTGGCAGAGTACCAGGTGGAATGAAGAGCTCCAAATTTATTCTGTGCTCTGCAACACACTGTATAGCAGCCTGACAGCATCATGAAACAAGGCAGAATTGTCAGCTTAGCAGCAAACTTGGTCCAAGCGTGGTCACAAGCTGTGGCAGCCCTGCAGAGCAGCAGAAGGGCATGGGATGCAGGGTAACCCTGGCTCCGAGCTCAGGCTCAGACAGCCTGTGTGGATTTTCTTTGGAGAGCCAAGTTCAATTGTCAGTGCATAGATGCAATCCTCAGCAAAACCATTGCCAGACTTCTCAGTAATTGGCACCTTCTGAACAAAAAGGCTAAAGACAAAATATGGGGGCAGAGCTTTAAGCTCAGCTTGGAGCGTGGACTTGCACAGAAGGGCATTTTGGCCACAGATCGTGGAAATTAATTGTACAGTTAGTGGGCTTCAGTCTCAGCATTTCATAGTCACGATATATACTCTATCTTAGTAAAACAAAGAATAGCAGTATATTTCTAGGTCGTCTTTTGCCTGTAATCCTGAGGGGAAAGTTTTCCTTAGTGTTAGCAAGCCTTGTCACTGCTCAAATCAATTTATTGGTTTTATCTCATTATTTTCTGTTATTCCTAGTTCAGTGTCTTCAGACATTTCCTTATTTTCTTCTGAAGGCTCCTGCTAGGCTCATTTTGTCTGTTGGCATTTTGAGAAGGAAAATGTAATCGTCATGCTGACTGAATGTCAAGTAACGCTGTGATTAAAAAGTAGCTTACAACAAAACTCTTCTTTGGAGTGTTTTTTACTTCTCATTTGCTAAGCTGAAAAGGAGAGTCAAAAAGTAGAAGG